CGTGCGCGCGGTTATTTATTTATTTCCGGGCCCCAGAGCGCTTATAATGGAGCCGCTGTCAGCAGAACCTTCTGCTGCTGCCGCCGCCGCCGTCCCTCCTCTTTTTTTTCCCGGCAGATCTTTGTTGTGTGGGAGGGCAGCAGGGATGGACTTGAGCTTGCGGATCTCCTGCTAGAGCAGCCGCGCTTGGAGAGGGCGCCGCAGCCGCGAGGAGGAGCCGCCGCCGCCGCCCCGAGGCCCCGCCGAACGCGGCCTCCGTCCGCCCGCGCCCCCGCTCGCCCCTCACCTCCCTGCAGAGTCCCCTCGCGGCGGCAGATGTGTGTGGGGTCAGCCCACGGTGGGGACTATGGTGAAATTCCCGGCGCTCACGCACTACTGGCCCCTGATCCGGTTCCTGGTGCCCCTGGGCATCACCAACATAGCCATCGACTTCGGGGAGCAGGTAAGCCCCGGACGCGCCCCTTGCCCGCCCGGGCAGCGCCGCCCCGCGCCCCGCACCCTGTGCCCTGCACCCTGCGCCTGCTCGCTCTGCCTGGGCCTTAGATGTCAGGCGCCAGGGGATGGACCAGAGGGGAATCACCTGCTCCGAGACCCTTTATCCTGGAACATTTGGTTGGGTTTGCAGCTTGACAAGGATGACTTTTCCAGCACCCTATTCCCTCGATTCTTCCCAGTTTTTCAGGGGACTTTTCCAGCTCTCTCTGGAAAAATGGTAAAAGACCAAAGACCGAGGGTATGAACTTCACCTATAGAAGGGTTTTTTAGTGCACAGGAGGAGTATTATGTAATTTGCGATTATGTAAACCTCGGGTTCATAACTCAAATGTACTTTCTAGTAGCTTAAGTACTGGGGTTTTGCTTATCCACGGTTGGTGGGGACGAGGATGGTGGGGAGATTTTGTCTTATAACGTGTGCAAGTTGATTTTCCAGGTACTTCTGATTTTTTAAATTTTTGTTTTATAGCCTATAGGGGTGTCCCAAACGAGTCTTGTTATGTCGATCACTGACTATCTTCTCTGTACTTTGGGGGTTTTAATACACGCCCCCACGCGTTGGACCACTAAAAAGGAGGAACACATTTTTGTTTGTTGTTGCCTCTCGTCCTTGTTTCTTATGCTTTCTCCAAGTGGCGTCATTGCATATCTAGCGCTGCAGGCTTTCTCAAGCGGCAGGGTACTGTACCCTGCGCTTTGCCTGGGGGACCGTTTTTTTTTTTTTTTTTTTTTTTTTTTTTTTTTTTAACAGGGCCTCTGGCGGGATGCAGTTATATTCTAAGGCCCAGGAAGAGAATTTGGAGATGGGACCTGCATATTTTCAGAAGCCTAACATACAGCTACTTTTTGCTAATTGGTTCTTTTCTCCTCTTTATTGTGCTTCAAAGAAGTTAGACTAAAATGCTTTTTTATTTGGTATAGTTTTTTTTTTTTAATTGTAGTTTTAGAGAGATGGACACATGTAGGTTTCCAGCCACCCAGTGGGCAGGTGTATTAAGCTTTGCTGTAGTGAATGATGATTAATAAGTAATATACAAATCCTGAGTTTGTGAGGTGACTGGGGAGTGCGAAGATCAATGCAACGACTGTTTTGCATGCTTTGGAGTGATTAAGAAATGCAAAATTAAAAAGTAAAGCATGCCTCTTTCATGCCTGTGACTTGTCAAGGAACAAAAGGACAGCAAATAATTTTGATGTTTCTTGGACTTGGACGAGTTTTATTTTGTTTTTTTAAATGATTATAACACCAGTCTGTGATTCCTTCAAAAATGTGGACAGAACTTTTAGAACGGAAATTCTGCTATGTGCAAGATTCCACTGAAAGTTGAATAAACTCCACATATGTAGCCACCTAAAGGAATTACACACCCATAGTCTCAGAGCTCTTAGAGTGTGTGTGGGGGGGCTACCAAGAGGCCTTGTAGCATTCTATGCAGTGCCTCCTGATGTTCTCCACCAACATCATTTATTTGTATAATAATGCAAATCAGATGATGCATATACATTATCATAATGAATGTAGATTCTCTATCATAGCTCAATCAGAAAGGAAATCCATATTATGGAATATTTATTCTCGAAATACATATTGTCTTTTTTGTGTGTGTGTGGTTTTGATAGAGAGGTTGAGGGTGGACTTGAATTCTATACCTAAGAAAAATGTTATATGGAATAGAATGACCTGCTTTAAATATATATAATATGTTGTTGATGGACCTGTATTTCTTTCATTCATTCATTCATTCATTCATTCATTTGTTTATATGTAGTGCTGAGGATCACTGAGCTACAACTCCAGCCCAGACCTGCTTTTTAATACTAAACATAAGTACCATAAGAAAGAATGAGAATATATCTATTATTGCAGAAACTAAAAGTAAAATGATGTTTGCAGCATCTTCTGGTTATGTAAAACAGTTTATGATAACCACATCTAGAATTATCCTTTGGTCTCCACTTTTGTAGATTGCAAATCTAAAGCATTATTCACTTACATTCATTGAGCACCTAGTATGTGCTTATAATATTTCAGCACATGTTATGTCTGAAGGAAGAATGAGAAGCTTAAACATAGCAAGTCATTTCTTTTGCCCAAGATCACATAGGCTATAAATGGCAGAGCTGAAGTTCCAGTCCACATCCACCTGGCCCTTATCCATCCACTGTCGGCTTCCTCTAGTTGGGTTTACACAATTAAATTTGCCCAGGATTCCTAGAAACTTAGAAATAAGTTCTAGTTTTTCAGATTCTCAGCCTAGGTCTAAATTTAATCTTGTCATATTTTGAACTTTGAAGACTCAACAGATGTAGGACAATCAGAAAGAAGGCTCCTAAGAACAGAAAATTATAACCAAGAAGTTCATTATTCAAATAATTAAATCAAACCATACCTTATTTTAATAAGGTGGTCATAGCCCTTGGTCAAGGGGAAAAAATGAACAAGTGATAGATAACCTCAAGATAAAATTGTTTGAAGTTGATATTTTTCATTAGATCGATACAGTTTGTTAAGGAAAGAGGAAGGATTTTAAACTAAGCATATTTTAAATATTTTAAACTATACATTTCTCATTAAAGACCCACAAAGTCTGTTTGATTTCACAATGTTAAAAGGACTATTGTTTGTTTAAAATTAAACTTTAAACAAAATCCTTGATTTCCTTTAATGCCAAGACCACCAGATTATGGTAGAATAAATTAGAACTTTTTTGAAAGGTACTTAATAGCACTTAAAATGTTAAGGACTCCTTTGCTGTGAAGACTTTGAAAAAGAAAAGAAAGTTGCAATTGCTCTCAATTAAGGGGAAAAGTACCCTTCAGAGTGTGGCGTAATCCACTCTCCAGCCTCGCTTGGTAACATCAGGTATTCAGATGACTCCTAATGAGTCAAAGAATTTGATAGGGTCCAATATAATCCTTCTGAGACCCAGGGTGTCTGTCTGTGAATGAAGAGTTTTTCATATGGATTGTTACAGTTACTGGAGATGCATAACAAGAGGGTTATGCATCAGCCCACCATTTTTAAATTTAGGAAATCTAGTGTTAGTCTTCCGAGTGTAAGAGGGTCTCAAATTATGAATGTCATAAAAAAATGGGAAAGAGAGAAAGAAGGAGGAGAGAGAAGAAAGAGGAGGAGGCAGGTAGAGAAGTCCAAGAAAAAGAGATTAAAGCACGTTCTTAATATCTACTGAGTAAAGAAACCACACACACCCAGAAACAAACAACCCACCAGAAACAAATGAAGTTTGGGAATTAAGAGGGTGAGTGTATGTAGCTCCAGCCCTTACTGGGAAGGGCTCTTCATCCAGGGTCACCGAGCCACGGAAGGGACCCTGCCAGGCAGACCTTGTCTTCAGTAATTAATAGTAATCAAAGCATCCTTTTGTGGCCCACTTTCCAAGGTGCCTAAAAACAGAAATGTAAATCTCAAGCTCTTTCTCAATAACCTTGGGGAGACCTCTTCCTTCTGTTTTCTTCTTCCACCCAGCCCACTCTATAATAATGAAGTAAATTTCAAAATAATTGTTTTGTTTTTCTCATTATAAAAGGAATACATGCATGTTGTTTAATGTTGGTAAAATTCTAAAAAGGGATGGGGGAATACCTCTAATTACTCTCTGAAGAAAAAACTCCTTTAACAATTTGGGTCTCTTCCACCCACCTGTTTTTTTTTTAAAACAAAATTGAGGAAGCATGTGGTGTGTTTGTATGTGGTATCAAAAAACAAGCCGTTTTCCTCAAGTCATTTGAAAATATTTAAGTATGATTTTAAGAGGCAGCAGAATCTTTGACTACCTGAGCATGCTGCAATCCCTCTTGCTGGGTGTTGCCCTGTTGTTTCTGGTTTGTTCTTTGGTAATGTCAAGTTTCAGAGGACATCCAAGTGCCTATCGGGTGTGGGCTTTCTCTGCCTGCCTTGGACTTTTTTGCCCGGGGTGCTTTGGTCCCAATTTCATCATCTTATTCATTCATAGAAAATGAGGTCACACCTTCCTATTTAATCAAGGACACTGTGACCTCCTCAGTGCATTTGACCTTCACCACCCACCCACCCCGCCCTGTGTTTCCCTAATCTCTTTGGATGTTCATCTCCTTTTAAAAGTGCTTTTTAGATGACTTTGGTAAGTAGGTTGTTTCCAGAGACACAAAGGTATAATCCTGTGGTTGGTAGGTTTACTCATTGTTGATCAGTTGAGGTGGTTTGATGACTAGCCTAAATACTGCTTTCTCCGAATGCTTCCTTCCAGGAGTGTCCATCACACCTGCAGACAAGGTCTACATGTCTTTCTAACAACAGGTCAAATTCTTAAAAGGCGGTTTTGAAGCGTGTGGTACAATGTCATTCCCGTGCTGCGGCACTTGTTAGACGTGACAAGCCTAGCTTTACATTAGTGGTCACTCATTTGGTTTCCATTTCTTTTCGCTTTCCTGGTGTGCATGACCCCCCCACACACTCCCCTCCCCTTCTGCCAGGGGTTGGTCCCAGGGCCTCAGGCCCACGAGGTAAGCACTCTACCACTAGCTGCATCCCCAGCCCAGCTGTTTTGGGTTTGAAATGGGTATCCAGGTTGGCCTCAAACTCCTTTTACTTTTGAGACAGTTTTGCTCAGTTGCATAGGGCCTTGTAAGTTGCTGAAGAGCTGGGCCTCCTGGGGAGTGGGGACTACAGGCATGTGCCACTGCACCCCACTTTCCTCGTTTGATTTGGAATGATAAGCCAGGTCATGTTGGAGTGGGAGGGAGACCCTGGAGTGTCCTGTGTGAGTTTGGATAAATAGAAATCACTAAAACTCCTGGCATAACATAATAGAGTAACTTGGGTTGGATACTTTTTTAAAAAAGATAAATCAGGTATTTTTGAGCACCTGTGACTCTATAGTTGCAGTGGAGAAAACCCTATTTTCGGCAGTGGAGAAAACCCTATTTTCGGCAGCCTTTTCTGGATAT